CACGAGTCGATGCCACATCCACTAAGGCAACCTAAGCATACAGGCTCGTGTAAGCAATACATCCTCGATGACTTATACGAGTTCCAATAGCTCCGTTGGTACTGATTCGAACACCTCTGCTGGCGGTGTAGACTTCTGTGCCAAAGACGATACTCGTGGACCGGCTGAAACGATAACCCAAGGACGAGTGAACAATCTCATCAATTTCAGTACATCAATTTCGATATTAATTACTATCCAACCATACGTTCACCAAATCAAATAATATCCAAACCGAAATCATGAGCATTTCTTTCCCCAAGTCAACTCTACAACGACATATCGACGAAAACACCCAAGTAGTGTCTTCTAGGAATTCCAATACGATATACAAAAATGTAAAATCGCACAGACCGCCCACCGTACCAAAGCACGCCAAGGCTGGTGAATCCTTGGCCCTGTAGGTCGCATATCGGACCAAATCCCGTTTGATCTGAATTCCATCTGCATTATCATCTTCCACATTACAAGTGCTAATACCTCAGCCACCTTCTCTCGCTGGGTCAACGGCTCCCCCGAACTACTCAGTTCTTCACTACTGGTATGCTCTATAGACTTCCACGGCAGACCGCCCAGCGCCAAGTCCAGAAACCTATTCCAACGACTATCGTCTGAGACAATCGAAATCCACAGATCACGAATACACGAAAACGAGACTCCAATAATCGTCGATGTAAGTCAAATGGCCGCCCCCCGGAGATACATAGTTTGTCGTACCACGGAATGAGTGCGCTTGAGTCGTGCCTAACACAGACCGCGATATCAAAAATGAACATCTTCAAATACCCTTACGGGGCGGTTGGTCATCCGCAGCGTAAAGTGTTTTGTCCTCCTCTGCAGTGTGAGTAGCATCGACTCGCTTGGCTAGGACAAAGTCGATTAGCAAACACTCCAGCTTTGGTGGTGGACCTTCCGAACCTGCGCAGTTGAATATCAAATTTCATTTACCGAGGAGGACCCTCACTGTCAGGCGTGGAGCTCACGAGCCAATTCGAAGGCTTAACGTCCCGATGGATGTACCCCAGCCTGAAGCCAAAATCATTTGCAGTCATGGAAGTTGCATAAACTCGGTCGCCTACTTATGCATGCGATGTAGGGTATCTAGCATACCCCTTCCGAGTGCCGCCAAGCTGAACGGCGAGAACTTCCCAATACGCCTCCTCACAACCGACAGAGACTCGCCTGAACAGTGTCGAAATACATGTTTGCTTTACTCAGCTGCTGAGCTCAAGATTGCCCTCACTGGTCATAGGAAAACATACACGAATTAGGGTAGAAGTGTTCAGAAACCAACGATAATTTTGTAATTGACTCGCAATGTGGTTGACCATGTGCATCTTTTCCCACGCTGGTCTTGGGCACTACGCCTCTCCAACAGAGCGTA